AGAGAGAGAGAGAGAGAACAGTTATTAAGATGGCAATGGGCACAGAAAATTAACCTGAGAGTCACAGAAGGTATCAGATTTGATGGCTTTCTCCTGACACTCTCATGGAACTAATGAGAAATAAGGCCTACTAAGGGGCCAGACTAAACAGGGAACCCTTACTTTGTTGTTCACACGCATGGCACCTCAGGGAGAGGACTAAATTTTATGTGCAAAGTCATTCACCTGTGGGCCTTTAATGGCATGTGACTTCACTAGAGTTTTCGTGAGACTGATTTGTCTCAAATCAGCCAAACTGTCTCAGTTAATTTCCCTTGTGGCCAAGAGCACAGCTGGTCAGACGAAGCTCTACCAAACACTATGCCAAGCTAACTTTTCATATAAGGTTGGAAACTCGACTTAGGACTCAATAGCACCATGAGTTAGCTATGTGGGTTGAGGGGGAGGAGGGCCGGACAGGACAGTCAATGAACATGTCTATAAAGAAAGCCTCCTCTCTCTGTCGACCTGACGAGTTTGTATTCATGCTCAGATGCCGAGGAGCTCAGAAGTTGGGTGACTGTGACCAGTGATAGTCATGTATATAGAGATTAGAAATGCATGTGAAAACGTCTCAATGTCAAGAGCCCTGGAATGAATTTTTCTGTATGAAACTGTGTGTTTTGACAACGCAGTGGAGATCTTTTTTAAACGTTGGAACCTCATTTAATTTTATGTCTTATAGAGTTTATAATGAGTAAAAGATTATATAAGTGTAATAATTCATCTGTAAACCTAGAAATGTACAGCCAATTTTGAAAGAGATGTACCCTAGCTCAGAAAAATGTTATTGAATAGGTTAATGCTGTTGTAATGAAATGCTTCTTTTAATTAAAATAAAAAATAAATAAATAAACAAAAAAAAGCCTCCTCTCAATAGTGCTGAACATATCATTTGCTTTTCAAGAAGATTTCTTTGCTCTTAGATGATAACCAGCTAATGGCAACCAGAAAACAGCATATTATAAGTGCAAAGTTAAACTTGGCTTGAAAGAAAGAAAAGTTGGGGCTGGAGAGATGGGTCAGTGGTTAAGAACACTGTCCATAACTCCAGTCCTTAGGGGATCTGACAGCCTCTTCTGACCTCCACGGGTATTGCACGACACGGGTGCACTTACCTACATGCAGACAATACATGCATACACATAAAATAAAAATAATAAATAAAAATCTGGTGGCACACGCCTTTAGTCCCAGCACTCGGGAGGCAGAAGCAGGCAGATCTCTGTGAGTTCAAGGCCAGCCTGGTCTACACAAAAAAGACCAAAATAAATAAATAAATAAATAAATAAATAAATAAATAAATAGAAAAAGAAAGAAGCTTTCCAGTGTGTGCCATGAGCATGTCAATTAATTCAAGAACCATGAAACTGGAATCTAAAGTCAGACCTTGAGGTTCTATTTATGAACCTCATATTAACTAGCTGAGTTACTCTAAAGAAGTCTGGCAGCCAAACTGTGCTTCAGTTTCCTCTTGTGTAAAATGAGGGCCTTAAAAATAATCTCAGAAGCCCATTTTGCCTCTAACATTGTGATGTTTGGTGGAAATCCATAAACAGGAATGGCTTTTTCAACAGTCCTAGCACACTGAGTATTTCGTGTGAAATGGACAGAGGGGCAGAGTGTCCTGTTGCAGAAGAATGCTTGTATGATGGGCAGATTTCACACATGCCTTGGAAGAGGTGCCATGCCATCTCTGGCTTCTGCAGAAGCCCCGGGGGCGGGGAGGGGTGCGTAATACACAGATCATTTTACTGAAGCAAATGTATGCCAGGAAATACTGCAACTCTTGGAGAAAGTATTTTATGACCTGGAAAGCTTTTGAAAACAAGGGTCTTAATTTAAAAAAAAAAATTGAGGAACTGGAAGGATTGACAAATTCTAAGAGAAATGGCTGTACAGTTTATTAGATCATTAATGTAAAAGTTTACATTAGGATAGTAAGAACATATGTGTATTTGTAGTCTTCAGGAAAGGGGGAAATGGTCAAGGGACCTCTACCCCTCCTTGGTTACATGCTTTATTGAATTTTTTCTTTTTTATTGAGGATGAAGTTGGCCAGTCATCACACACACACACACGCACACACACACACACACACACGACACACCATAAACCACAAATCAGCAATGGTTGAATCAAAATGGATATATTTCTTACTCACACGATGCAAGTCCAAAAACAATGGTTCAGAATAATCAGTAAGTCAGGCAATGAATGGCACAACCGGAAGAAAATTGCCTTTTCATGAGACAGAGTGGCCTGGTACACCTGTGGTCACAGCTACTTGGGAGGCTGAGGCAGGAGGATTACTTAGCTCAGGAGTTTGAGGCCAGCCTGGGGGAAATCATGACTCAAAACATTTTTAATTACTTATTTTAAATAAATAAAATCACTTCTAATACAGTAGTTAGTGCAGCCATCCCTGCCCCTGTGTGAGTTCAGGCATGTGTATGGAAGTCAGAGGACAACATCAGATGTCAGTCCTCACTTTCTACCTTGTTTGAGACAGGGTCTCTAGTGGACTGCTACACATGCAGGGCTAGGGAGCTTCAAGGGATTCTCTGGTCTTTCCCTTCCATCTTGTCATAGGAGCCCTGGGATTACAGACAAGCACTCCTGTTTCTGGCTTTGCGTGGATTCTGAGAATCTGAACTCAGGTCCTCATGCTTGTGCAACTGCTTTCTTTACCCACTGAGCCATCTCTCTAGCTCATTAACATGACATTTATAATTTTTGTTGATTCTCCTGCATTCCTTCTCCATCCCCTTGTGTCCTTCCATTCCCAGTAGCCTCC